CCGCAGTTCAATCCCCCAGCACCACATACCAGCCAGCCCTGCCCCCTGGTGGGCTGAGCTGGCCACACACACACACACACACACACACACAAAATAAATTTAAAAAAATAAAAAAAACAAATTTGACTCCTCTATGTATCTCATATAAGTGGAATCATGCAGTCTTTGTCTTTTTAGGACTGGCTTATTTCATTTAGCATAAACTGCTCAATGTTCATACATGTTGTATCATGTGTTAGAACTTTTTATTTTTTATTTTTGTTTTTTAGAACTTTCTTTTTAGCACTAAGTAATATCCTATTATTTGTATATACAACATCTTATTTGAACAAATGATTTAAAAGTGGAATGTCATAAACTAGAACAGTAATTTCATTTCTCTAAACCTCAGTTTCTTCATCTATACAATGAGGACAATGAGAAGTCTTAACTGAATTGTAAGGAAGATTAGGTGAAAATGAAAATAATATTAGCCCATATTGTATATATACCTTCTGTGCTCAGTAAAAGGTTCCTAATAATATGATTATTTTCAAAATTCTACATGTAAGAAAAATAAACTGTCTATGTGAAGACAAATGAACATGAGTTTTCATGATACATTATTGATAAGAGCCTAAAACTAGAAATAGTCTGGATTATCTTCAATCAGTGGTATTAATTATACCATGGTACACTACTCAGGAATAAGAAAAGCAATCTATTTATGTACACAACAACTTGGTTCAAGTATAAAAGAATTATGCTAAATAAAAAAGCTAATCCCAGAAGGTGATATGATGTATTATTTCATTTACATGGAATTTCCAGAAAAGCAAATCTTTGAATGCAGAGAGCAGATTATTTTTTGCCCAGGGGATAAGGTAACAGTGGGTAGGGAGTAACTCTTAAGCTGTCAAGAGAGATTTTGCTGGACATGTTCTAAAACTTGATTATGATGAGGGTACTATAAATAAATAAATTTACTAAAAGTCATTGTACACTTAAAACAGGTATATTTTTATAGCTAAATTATACCTTGAAAACTTTTTGAAAAGATTCTATATCTAAAAACAGGAAAAATGCAATTATATTCTGTTGGATCCTAAGAAATTTTAATCATGAAAAAGTTTTTGATTTTTCACTTACTGAAGGATGTGCCGCTATATATCCATGTGCGCTTTTATCTGAAAAGTGAGAATAAAGAGATCATGTTTGTATCATGTGGACTGTCTTATTTAGAGGCACACTAAAAAGCAAACAAAAACAGCAGAAAAATAAACAAGCCAAGACACTGCATGTCTTGGACCACAAAAATTTTCTAATTTAGTGTTAAATACATATGACAAATGACAATTATTTTTTCCTTAAAGTAGCTTGCACCATTCCACCCTCAAGTCACCGCACAAACCTTAATGAAGTGAACTTCATCTAGATGGAGGAATGTGAAGATGACCTACTCCAGACTGGTATCAGTCTATACATCTATATTACAGGGTATTTTATCCTTTCCTTTCTACTTTTCCCTGCCTCTCCTCCTTTCTATTATTTCCTTCTGCCTTTGCTTCTGATTCTCCTCTTCTCCCTATACCCCCAAACAGTCAGTTTCAAGACTGGAGCATTCAGAGAACAATATGGTGAGTTTCATTCAGCTCATTCGGCACAATAGCTCAAATACTGTTGAACTTTAACACAGTTGCCAGGAACGGAACCCTATAAGTTAAGAGAATTTTGCATACAAAAATAAAAGTTTTAAACAGCAATGGCCACCCTTTGGTAAGCTGAAGGGCATCAATGGTTATACTGAAATTACTCTTTGAAAACATTTTTGGTTCTGGTCACCTATGATTGTAATTTGAAGCACAGCTCCTGATTTCCTCATGTTTAGCATTGTTTTGTATGGTAGCAGGATCTCTTAGATACTTTGTTACACATGGAAGATTAGAACAAAATACTTGATTTGCTGTCTTTCTTTTTAGGTTTTCCACTCAGGGCAATAGTTAATATCAAATCAAAAAGTCCCATTTGGCATGTGAATTTTCACATATCTTCAGTGCTGAGCTTTGATATTTGATATGGCCAAATCAGAAACTTTTCCTTCTAAGTGTGTATTTGTACCATTCTCAAAAAGAATTTGACTTGGCCATACACAGAATCCAATGCCAATCAGGAGCTCTCTTTGGCTGGGGTACTGGTGATAATGTGCCATTCTCTCTTTAGATATGAGGTAAATTGTTCTAGAGACACAGCATAGATTATATTTTTCAAAATGAAAAAGTATTATTTAGGATATATTTTTGTTGCTTATAGGGCAAATTTAAATATCAAATTCCCAAACTGCAACTGCTGATTGGAGCTAACCCTTATGGGTTCACCAAACAATTTTCTTATTTGGACTTTAAAAACACCCAGTGAATATATATCTCTTTTTTATTTTTTATTTTTTTATTTAATTTATTTTTGAATATATATCTCTTGTGATCAATCCCAAATTCAAACTCATATTTGATTTAGTTATACTGAGCACATTTAAAGAACATACTAGAACTGACTTCAAATGTTCCACAGACATTTCATTTTAATCATGAGGCTCTGAAAAGAGTTAATTCTACAATTTTCTATTTTAAAAATTAATTTTATTGGTAGATTTGAGATACGCATAACATCACATTCATAACAGGGAATTTGTACCTGTGCATGATATATCTTGATTCTTCTTCTTCTATTTTTTTTTGCCAATCCCTTCTCCTCACTTCAGCCCCCTTATTCAACCCCTCTTTATTTATTTACTCATTCATTTTGCAGTACTGGGGAATGAACTCAGGACCTTGTGCTTGTGAGGCAGGTGCTTATGCCGCTGAGCTTTCTCGCTGGCCCAACCCCTCCTTGTTTACAAAAGCTTTGTTTCCATTTTTGCCTTCTGTTTTGTCTCTGTCTGTTTGTCTGTCTGTCTGTCTGTCTGTCTCTGTCTGTCTCTGTCTCTCTCTGTCTCTGTCTCTCTGTCTCTCTGTCTCTCTCTCTCTCTCTCTCTCTCTCTCTCTCTCTCTCTCTCTCCTTCCTTCTAATTATTCAGTCTTCAATACTCTAAAATTTCTCTTACCTCCTGATGTAAAGCTCATGTATTTCTGGTTGTTGACAGTTTCTTTGGAATCATAGAATTTGAGAACATCTAAAACAGCTTGTGGGTTCTTCTTCTGTTCTAGTTTTGTGATGTTGGAGGTTTGGAGTAACCGAGCCCACTGTTCAGGAATTCCCTGTAGACAACCAAAGGGAAAGAAAGGCAGCTCAGAACATGATGCAGCAGCACGTTCATGTTCCAGTAAAGTTCTTCACCAAGAAGCCCATGCTACCTGTAGGATTACACTTGGGAAACTGAAGTTACATTCTAGATTTAACGTTAGTAACTTAATAATGCAATCATTCTCTTCTCTAATTAAAACACATAGGTAAAACTAGGATCCAACTTAAAAAGGGTGGGTGGGAGTATGACTGTGATTGAAAAAAAAGCGCATGAAAATCACCTCCATATTGACTCTGCTCATCCATGAAATGATGTTTACAGCTTAGCTTATTTTTTTTCTGGCGACTCAGGGCAGACATAGCAAGACTTCTCTAAATTTGTGCACAGCATAGTATTGTGCAGATCAATGGGTTTTCTATGATGAATGGCAAGCTGTTTCTGGGTATGTTATAATCAGAATATATTTTAGAATAAAAGGAAAGCCTCACCCTTGGTCAGTTTATACTTTATGATTACAAAATGTGATTTTTGGGTCTAGAGCTTTAACAAAGTCAAATTATGAGGAGACAAAAATTGAATTGTGGAGGAGCAATAACCACTGAGATGCTAAATACTAACATTAATGCTGCTTTGGGGATTTCCACGGCAGCTTTCTCCCAGTCATGCCCTCCTCTGCTCCTCTATCCCTTCCTCCCCACTTCATTTATTGGTCATGTAGAATCTGGGGACATGAGAACCATGCCAAAGCCTTGTGAGAATTTGCAATAATTTGAAACATTTAGAGTAGAGAGGAAGGAGTATTTGGCAATCTAACCAAGGAGAATTGCAAAATTAAACAGAGAAGTTAGTTTTTCATTGAGTATTCAACATTCTTTCCTACAAGTTCAACCTACAGATGTCCCCATTTCAAAATTATCCAACCTCCAAGAATGACTTGGAGAGAGAAGCAGACACACTATTCCTGAAGTGCATCCAGATACAATTTATGTGGCTTTATCCTATGAAGTCTCGGCAAAACAATGTGTGACGTGGGCCTCCAGAGTTTGGGAATGACAACAAAAAAGTGAGATAAGCCAAGCAACAACTCTACTGCACACACATGAACCTGCTGCTGCAGTGCTATGACATCTCAAAGAAGCACTTTGATGCAAGCTTCTTTTGGGCCTGTGACGCACCTCTGGGAGCTTCCCTGGGCACATCTGTGAGCCATAGAGATCTGGCTGTAATGGACGTAAATAAAGAAAGAAAAGAAAGTTAAAACAGAATGTGGGACAACTTAGAAGGTGGGAGGAGATGAAACCAATGGGTCTGAATGGGGGGAATCCCTTTTAAACTGGGGCGGTTATGAAAATAGGGAGGTATTAACTAAATCAGGGACTGGACAGTCTATAGGACAACAGATTTAAGAGAACAGAGAAAATGGCAATGTTCCAGAGTTTGGATGTATAATTTCACTTTTGGCCAGATGGTTCTTTCATAAATAGGCAATAGTAAGAATTACCATTAAATGATTGGAGAAATTATTAAAAGCAGAAACATGAATTTGGAGGGGAAAAGGATGGCATCATGAAAAGCTTTGACAATAATTTGTAAGTTGTTTTTATAACGGGGTGATCACAGGTAGCCAATGGCCATGTGATGAACTTACAAATTTCAGTTCCCAATTCTGGTTAACCAATTTCAATTTCATGGTGGAAGAGGCTGTGCGGCTAGAACTCAAAGGACAACTACTCAAAGGCAGTCCTGAATTTTTGTTCTCATTAATGTGATTCTTCTACATTTTATAGCTAAAGTGATGGCTGGCTTAGAGAAATCTAGAAAAGGGATGTTCCTACACAGCCAGCCTCTATGTTTAAATTTCTCATAAAATTAGACCAGGGAAAGGGAAGCCAATTTATTTCAAAACATATATGAATAATTTCCATTTTAATGCTACAGTACCAAACTCCCAATTCCCACAAAATATAGTCAGATATAAAGTAAAAGTTTTGTCTAAATAAAAATATCTCAAGTCCTACAGAAACATGCTTTGACCCATCTCGTTTGATTTGGGATATAGTTCCTTGATTCCTGGTATTTGTGGTTACTCCAAGCACAGTAAAACAACACTTTTACATGCATCCAGCACACAATTTGATGCTAAAGCCTTAAGCCAAAAATTGGAACTCAAGAGCCCATGCATAATCCCAGTTCTGATTCTAAGTGCAATTAATAGCATTTGGTTAATATTGTACTGGCCAAAGGAGTTATTAAGTGTTACAAATCCAGGTATGCATTGCACATAACCACCAAAGCAGACTTCACTGGCATGATCATTACCATAATTATTTGAATATTTGAAATTATTATATATATATCCCAATAGCACTTCAAAACTTTTATGAACTTTTGGTTGGGTTATATCACTAGACAGCATAAAAAATGCTGTTTATTATAGAAGATCCTCCAGACAAGTGTACTTACCACATGACTACACTGGTGACATAATTTCTTTTTTTCTAAGTTTAGACAAACCAGCTTACCAATGAAACCTGACACTCATATTTCAGTGTATGTGACAAAAGCACATAATCAGAAAGCCATCTCATGACTCCAGATTGACACACCAATCCCCAAAATTAGACAGCTAATAGAGACCTGGGAGTTTAAGCATCAGAAGCAGGAGCACATCTCCTTGCCTGACCATGTATAGGATAAAAAGTATATGTACATCAACTGGGGATTGATTATCCAGTGTAGTCCAGGAGAATGGCAGCATGATATAACAGGCCAAGCATTTATTGTATCACAAGAAATGATAACTTGTATCACTCATACCATTTTTCCCTCTGATTGACTTGAAGCGACCGTCACAGGTCTAGAGGTCTGGAAAAGGGAGTTCTAAAGTATTTGGGACAAAAATGGCAATGTAAAGGATAAGGACTTATAATAATTTCATACTGAAAATCTCACCTCCCACTGTAATTTTAAGCTTAAGGTCCAAGTCTATGACCAAGCATACAAGGTTATATGGGCAATCAGCCACAGAGTAACCACCAAGCAGTACACCAAACAAGTTTCCAAAATGAAGAATAGAACTGTGTAAGGCAACTGGCTAAGGTAATTCAACAAATTGCTCAAATTTCAATCTCAACATTCACAATAATCAAATTTTGTAACATTCCCCCAACACACAATGACTTAATGATACTGCAGCAATTGGGACTGAGTTCTAAATCCTACAAACAAAATGATTTTTTAGAAGTTTATTATCATTTGGTATTTTTATAGTTAAGCATAATAGCATAGTAAATGTAAATCTTGGGTTAAGATTGTAAAAAAGGCAGAATTTGGCATCTTTAAAAATAATGTGCTGACAAATTGTTACTAGAAAGGTCAAGAAGACAATGAAAGCACTTCAGATTTCTAAATTTAGCTTTTAGCTATCTACCCATCTATCTATGTATCTTAACTTTGTATTAATGGATTAAGTCTAAACAGTTACTTTACTTCATATTGATTTAGGGGTGAGGCTTATTTGGTTTCACTGTAATGTATCGAATTATATTTTTCATGACTGGAAAGATGGCCAATCACATATCTTATTCCATCTGTCTCTGATTGATTCACTGGATTATAATAAACAACAAAGTGAAATGACCAGTATTGTAGTCAGCAAGATGGTGATGATTCACGTTCCTTCATTTCCATTCAGAACCCAGGAAGAACAAAAAAAATGAGATAAAGATAGACTGAATCATAAGATGTCAGTAAGTTGGAAAATGTGGGAAAAATAAAATATTGAAAAAGAAGCAAAATGTCAAATGATATAACAGAGAAGGTTTTCAGATCAGAAGACAAAAAGGAAGAAAAAGCAAAATGAAAATGTAAAATGACAGTAATTCATGAGACATTTCAACAAAAGAGAAGCACAGGGGACAAAAGGTCAAAACTGGTAACACAAAGTTCTTAAAAATAAAAAGATAAGAGTTATTAGATAAAACTTCTATAAAATTTAAAGGGTCCGCTTGTTTCAAATTTCAGAAAAATACTGACAAATCTCTTTATTATATTTAAAATATATAAACTCTCACACTATAAAAATTACTTTTATCTAGTGGAGATGATGGTGGTAGTGTTGCGAGCAGTGTTACAGCTTTTAAATGGAGATCAGAGAACACTGTGACAATATAACAAGGCTGTGCACAAACTCAAGGGCATTCAAATAATGTCTCCAACTCTGATAATCAAATTTGTTAGACACTATCTCAGTTTTACAGTGAATTAATTCTTACGTTTTCTTCTGTGTGCTACTGAGAATACTGAAATGATCTACTCACACAACTTTGGGAGGAACAGATATTTACTTTGTTTCCATTTTATTCTTATTGCTTACTTTTAGAATCAAACAAATAAGATAATTTGGCTGTCAGTTCAGCTACATGGTTTACTTCTCCAAATGAAACTGATTTGTTCTTTCTTTTTTCCTACTTAATCATATGACACAGTCTGTTCACTAACCATCTTGTTTGGAGGCAGAAAAATATATTCAATATCTATACTTATCTCAGGTTTAAGAAGCCTGGAATTGATGTTGGTCCTATCGAAGATTTTTTTGTCTGAATTTATTCAAAAATACTATTTCAGATTATACATTTTAATTGAGCTCTTTAATGGCATAGAAAAATAGTTGAGATTCCCAGGGACATATACCTTGCACTATGTTTACCCTTTCCCATTTAAAAAAAAATGCCAATTTTTAAAAATCATATAAAATGGCATCATGTGTCTGAGCTTGTGTGTTATTTGAGCACTACAAATATTCAAAGAGTGCTTTGACCTATAGCAAAGAATTCTTATTGGCATTTCTTATGAATCATTCATATCATGTGTGTATCTGCATAGTAAGCAATAGAGCATACTTAATGTAGCCATCAGTATTTCTTCCAGAAACATAGGACTTGTTTTAGATGTCTACAAAATACATTTACCAATCCTAAAAAAAAGTCTGTGTTTTTTAAATCACATGGAAGATCAGACCAATTTTACAGAGATATTCTATTAGTGTCATCAGCTGATCTCGGTAATTCAGGCTCCACTGTGAAACCTGAATTGTTCAGATAGATTGTATGCACTGTCGAATTTGAGTAGGTGACTCTCCAATCTACTTCTCAAGATAAATAGGCTTGGGTAGGGTCTCCTGACCACAACTATATTTTCTGTGCTAGGTAAATTAATATTTTCAGTGAAATTGAAGGGTATACAGTGATTAGAAATTTTTGTTGAAATGGGTAAAATAATTTTTTCAATGCTGTTGTCACCTTCTGTTTCCATCTATGATTGTCTAAGTGGAGCCCATTTGGCTTGCAGTCATCAAAAAATTGCTTCTGACATGTGGGGACATGGTCATTCTTGCTGGAAACATTTTTTTGGTGGAACCGGGGATTGAACTCAGGCCCTTGTGCTTGCCAGGGAAGCATTTATTCTACTGAGCCGTCTCCCCGGCCTCTGGAAACCTATTTTGACAATGAATTTTTTACGCCTTACAGAATGAAACAAGGAGCTTACTTACAGTGAATTCCCCGGTGACTGCATCAAACCCCACATGAATCGTATGCTCAAAGTCTGAAGGAAGAGAGATCTCTGGGCGTTCTTTCTCTTTCTTCTTATTGGCTAAAGGCAAAACGTTAACATGTATTTATTTGGGGTATACTTTTTCCTCGCATAAGTTGTACAAGTAGGTTCATTAAAACAATTATAAAGTTGAAAGAAAATCAAGTCCAACCAAATTTTAGCAATTTTTAACTCCAGAAAATCCAACTTTATTTGAAGAAATGGCTGAAAGTTTGATGAAAAAGATTACATCAAAATTATGTAAAAATTTCCAAAATACAGTTCAAACAAAACCTTCATCACACTGAATTGTATCCTTTACAACAGTAATAAGGCAATTAATTAAAAAGTATCTGACAAGTGCAAGGGCCTGAGTTCAATCCCTGGTTCTACAAAAAAAAAAAGTATTGGAGTACACTGTGTTTAATTGCCTTTGTTGGATCAAAGATTTTTCTTTCCTACTCTCCTTTTCACACTCAAGCCAAGCTAAAGCTTAGTATTAGAAAGAAAGAATAGGTGAGAAAAAGTACCTCAATTATCTACAAAAGTGATAGAAATATTTCCATGTCAACTGTAAATGAATGTCAAGAAGTTGGAACTTTCTAACTGAGCATAGTGGCACACTCCTGTAACTCCAGCACTTGGGAGGCTGAGGCAGGAGAATCCCCATGAGTTTGAGGCCAGCCTGGGCTACATAATAAGAACCTGTTGCAAAGAAATTAAAAGGCTGGGGATGCAGTTTAATGTAAAGACCCTAGATTCAATACCCAATACTCAAAGACACAAAGAAGTTGGACCTTTCTCAATTTACACACTTACAATATAAAGTATATCTTGGTCTTCTTAAGAAAGATAGTATTATAAATCCGTGATATTAAATATGTTTCTTTATCTTTAAAACCATTTGTTTTATTGCCTAGCTCATTGCTGGTAAAAACTATAGATCTGTGCTCTTTACTGAATTAATTTTATTAGTTTTAGATCCTGAAAGCATTTTTTGGTTTACTCTAAGTTTATAGCAATCTTTCTATTCTGTCACATTAGATATTTGAAATTCTGTCTTTTTCAGATTTTTCATAGTGGCATAATTATGAATGAACATTTTGCTAGTTAATAAGTCAAAAGCCTTTAAAGTTACAATCAGTAAAGAAATTAAGTTAGGAACTATAATGAAATTAAGATAACTAGAAATAGTTCCCAGGAAGAAAGTACTGTGGAAGTACTCTAAAATGAAAACTGGTAGCTTTTATAAATGTTCTGTCAGTAGATTTGAGCATGTCCCTCTGATAAGGCTGCATTCCACCGTGCATAAAAAATACTCACATTCCTAATACCAGGCAAACCATGGGCCAGGTTTATTCATATGAAATTAGATGTTTTCTTTGGTCTGAGTTACAAGTAACATGGAATTAATCATACACAGATTATGTATTTCATAAATGACCCTTGAGAAATTTTAAATGAAAATTTTTTCATAATTCAACATCATTCTTGTGGCTTCTTTGCTCTTTGTACTGTCTCTCATGTATGTCTGCTAGAGGACAGGGAAAAGGGGAAAGACATGTGGAAATTCAAATATTGACGGGGACTTTACAGGAGTAGAAAAGGTTGGGGCAGAGGGATGAAAGTCACTGAAAGCCCTCACTGAGCCTTAGGATCCATTTTTTTCAAAGGCCATGAATTCCATCTACCTTAACACAGCACTGATTATGATTTATAGTGAGTCTCCCTTATTGATGCTTATTCTAATAGACAATGTAGAGTGCTCTATTGTTGCGCCCAATTCCTCTCATTTGTTTACTGCATGTATCATTTATACTTGTGCAACCATCATTTCTGCTTGGTCCGAAAAAGAACAGAACTAGCTTTTTGTGTGATCACTCCACTGAAAATGTCCTACTAACTCCCCTAATCTTTGTTTTCTTTTCTCCATTTTCCTATCCATGTTAGACACAGCTAACTACCTCTTTCTATTTTCAGGAACATGTCTAAGTTTCCTTTTTCCTTAGTACCCAGTTATTCTTCTGCCATTCCTAGTGCCAGTCTACATCTTTCTGCAATACTTTCTCTACACTCTTTCCTCCTGAATTGAATACACTCCCATATACTAACTTGTGTTAGGGGATCCCTTAATCTGTGGTTGGCAGGTGTGGATTCAGATCCTGTGGGACCATGCATTGTATGTAATTTGTGAAGAACCTCCATTTAGGTAAAAGTATAAAATTGTTAGGGGCCTTCCTAGGGCTTCTGAAGAGTCCCTAGCAAGTGAGTAACTCTTAACAAAGCAGCTTCATTAGCTTTCTAAAAGTTAAATTGATTGGTACAATTTAGATATACATGATGATCATATTCATTATAGGGAATTTGTACCTATATATTTCGTATCCTCTTTTCTCCAATCCTGTCCCTTCCCTTTAACCCCTCTTTCCCTTCTAATTTACAATTGCTTTCATTTCATTCTTCTTTTATTGTTTTTATTTTTCTGTTTTCCTTCATTCCATTCCCCATTCCCCCTCCTTACTGATATTTTATTCCTTTTGAACAAGTTCTTATTTTAAATAACTATTGTACATTTTGGTCTATTGCTAGTTGCTTGTAATCTTTTTGGGTTCACAGTAAACTGTGAAGAATTTGAAGAAATGTGTGAAACTTCCGCTAATAAAAATTCAATACACACACACACACACACACACACACACACACACAATTCTTTGTATATTTTCCTTTTTGTCTTTATTTTTTGTTTTTATTATTTTTTTAACTTTCAGAGGTTCCTGATTCTCCTGGACTCCATTATAACCCCTACCTTAATCTATACCTCTCTTCCTTACACTATTATGCATTCATGCCCTCTGTTGTCAAAAAATAAACTCTTCTAACATAATAATATTGGCTGGCCATTTGTAATTTGTGACCTAAATGTAAACATTCTACATGGGCTGAGTTATACATAGAATTGGCTTAATGGTACTTCAGTAGAAGGTCACCACACTGCCAGGCTTACCAAGCCGGTCATGAATTCTCTGCATTCAAGACCAAGTGTGACAGGCAGGAAACTTGCTCTCTTCTAGTGTTCCCTACTCAGTCAAATGACGCCACTAACTTAGAGGAGTAAAGTCTTGGTCTAGTCCTCCTTTGGGTGATTCTAAGCAATGAAGAGATTGTATGTTTACAATCTCTCCAATGTATATTTAAAATAAAAAATTATATTAAAGTATAAAAAGTAAAGTCCAGAATGGATATTTATATGATGACTGGGTCATTTTTAAAAGCTATTCATCCCAAATCATAATGTTTTCACATTTTGGGCACCCTTAACTTCCTGGATGCCATAAGCACATGTATACTCTGGCTACAGGACAATTAAGCATGACCCAGAGTCCAAAACCAAAGATCTGGGAGTCAACTGCTTTATTTCAACATTAATAAGTTACTAACTTGGTCTTTATCTCCTAAACTGGTATTAAATCCGTCTTTCTTCTTTCACTTGCACAAACCACTACCTTAGTCCAAGACATTAGTATTTCTTGCTTTCAAGGAAAACAATTTGTCCCCTCCAATTCAATTCTCTACTCTATGGTCCTTCATTACTCATAAGTTAAGTTTATGCTTCTTTATGTGATATCCAAGGACATGAAGGATTGATTCCTAACTAACCTCTTCAGCCTCTCTTATGGTAGACACTGCTATCTGTACACATTGCTAAATGCTCCCTAAAAGGCTGGGCTTTCTTTTTGTTCATAGGCCTATAAAACTGTGCTACTTACATCTGCCTCTGAACTCAGTGTGTATCTCTCTCCCCTCCCTGCCCTCCCCTCCTCTCCTCTTTCTCTCTCTCTCCCTGTCTCCATTTCTATCTTTCCCCCTTTTTTTCTACTTCCATCTCTCCCCTTCTTCCTTATCTTCCTGTCTTTTGCTCCTTCTCCTCTCCTCATCTTCCTGTTTTTCTTCCTTCTTCTCCTCCTTCTTTTCTTTCTCCACAACCACTCTTTTCTCTTCTGGAAATTCAGTGATATAAACTGAGACATACTTTAAATTTGGTGAATTTCCTACTAAGGATGGTTACTAATTGTGCAGTTTCAATGCACATGCTAAAGAATGTGAGAATAAGTCTTTTTGCTATTAAGCATCTCAAATTATATAGAGATATATATGTAAGGAAGAACCAATCTAGTACTGGGTAGGCACAAAATGTAGAATATATACAGATATTTTTATGAGATCATGAAAGGAGCAGAACTTCACCTTTTCTTCTGAGGCAAAGACTTTTCAAGAAGAGGAAGCTCAAGAGTGATTCTTCAAGTGTAAAGATTGAAATGGACTGAGGGTATAGCTCAGTGGTAGAACATTTATTTGCCTTGCATGCACAAAGACTTGGGTTCATTTAGTTTAAAATTCAGCCTAACCTGAATGTGCAGCTAAGAACCAGCCTGATTAGTTCTACATTTGTATTTTAATAGAAGAGAAGCCCAAATGAGTATGCTTTTCTAAGTAAATCTTTCATATTCTATTGGAACTCTGGACAATGTTGACTGGACTATAAAACTGTGAAAAACTTTTAGTCTTGAGAGCCACTTGGTATGACTGAGTTCTGAGTGTAACTCTAGCCACCAAATAGTCTCTTCAGAGATTTTCAACAGTTTTCTTTATTTCACTTATTGTATGCAAAGAAACACCCCTCTACTCATTTGTCATCTCCTTTATACTTCACCTCAATATTCTGCATTCCTTCCTCTTTAATGCGTAGAATTTGTCCCATTAAGAACCAATTCCACTACACCTTTAATCTTTTCATTAAATTGTCTCTTCACTCTTGCAGCAATGTCAATTATGAAGCTGGATTTGGGCCTCGGAAACTCTCCCTTTGGCCTCTTCTTATAACTGATCTACAAAAACCTAACCTGAGTGAATCTAAGCATGAAATTTCACTTTTGTGCTGAAGTTTCTGAGAGTTACTAGGAAAAAAAAAAATCCCACAGCCATACAGATTGGCACTTTTTAAAGTTTCAGACCTTAGTTAGATCTCTGTACATTCAATATTTTCCCTAACCATTGCCAAC